TAGAAGAGTATCCTGCCATTCATAGAAAGGCACTGAACATTTTGCTACAGTTTTCAACTTTACATGTGTGAGCAAGCTTTTTTTTTATTTAGCAAGCATCAAAAGTAAAGACAGAAATCATCTTATTTCAGTTGAAGATGAAATCTGTGTGTGCTTATCTCAAGTTTGGCCCAGAATTGAGTATTTGTGCAGCAAAAAACAAGCACAGGCTTCACATTAAAGAACTAAGTTTGATTCTTTTAGTTAAACTGTTAATGCACATATACAGGCCTACACACGAAACAAATATAATAAATTTGTAACTTCTGCTGATATTTGAGCCTGAATGTGCAGGGGTTCCCTGAGGCCTGAAAAATATTTCAAGGGTTCCTCCAGGGTCAAAAGTTTGAGAAAGGCTCGTTTATAGCCACTGCTTCTCTCGCTAAACTGAAGGAAAGCTGATAAACTCTCAAGGAAGTCAAATTCACTGTTACACCAAATGGACCGCTGGTTTTAGTTCTACCTTTTGCATTAGAAATAATGTAAATCTAGGTTAAATTCATATATAGTATAGTACCAAACCACAATGTGATTTTTTTTTAGCTTTAACACATTGTATCAACACAGTCATTATTATTGCTAAAGCACTGTCTATGGCTTAAACGTTTATATGAATACAGCCAACTGCAGCTTATTCAATAACCTTTGACTAAAGCAAGCCTTGGTTTAGCATGATATGTGAGCAAAGCTTTTAAGTTCATCCAAGAGCTACATTAATGTGCTGTCTTCCCATCCCTGAGATTCCTACACCTCTGCAAGGAGGCTAGGAGTGTTGCTGCCCTCAGAGAATGTAACATGATACTTTCAGGGCAGCAACTGAGAGGTTCCCAGCCATCCCTTCTCATCTCACCCAGTGTCACCTCCTGGCAGGAAAACCAAACTGTCCTGATCTTGTGGCAGGGTGGCATTCAGAGATTGAATGTTCATTTCCAACATCTCTTTGTGGATGAACTCTGATATTGCTAGTCCTATTGCTAGCCACTCATAGCACTCCATTAAATGCTGGTTCCCCCTTTCCTCTCTACTTCCCACAGCTTTTCTCCTTCAAAACCACTTTCCTTCCAGCTATTGTTCCACTTGTAAGGAAGGGAAACACACACAGAGCCCCATCCTGATTAGCAAGAGTTCATTTGTATTCAGTGGAGAGGAGTTAGAAGTACACTTACCTTAAATATTTAAGTTTAAAAGAGCTTGGACATGTGGGAGCCCAAGAGAGTGGCACATTAGTCAGACAAAACCCTGCCAGCCTGCAAAGAAGGGCAGAACCCAAGGCAGCTCAGCACTTATCACCCAGTTCTCCTTCCCCCTCCATATCTGTCAGACGCTTTCTACAGATTAGATCAACAGGTACAACAGACAGGTGATGGGCTCTGTCTATGAGTCTCCAACCCCTCCATCCATACTCCATCCAAACAATATAGCCCAAGCTTGAAGCAGTCATAGAAGCGGTATCAATCCAAGCACAACAAAAGAGGTGAAAGGAGAGGCAGTGGTGAATGGAGAGCTTGGCAGCAATGCCTAAGGCATTCAGGGAAAGGAGAGGTAGAGGGCACCTCAAGAAGTGTCTCTGAGAATACTACCCACCCACTCCTTTTGTCAGCCAGAACAGCACTAGCTGCATCCCCACTTAACTCACTTCTTTCTAAAGTCACTGCTTGGAAGCACCTGCAATTAACCATACCACCAAGACTGAAGATGTGCACTTGAGCTTGGCAATCAGTTGTCAGGGGGCTGAACAAAGACAGCACCCAAGCTGTTCCCAGCCCTCCCACAAAAAGGAGCAAAAATTAGAAGCCACTTCCACTTAACCCTCATCTTGTACAAAACAACATGTGTCTTCTGCTTTTTTTAAATTTTGCAATCAGACAATAATATTCTCCCCAGAAGGAAACAAATCAAGATATTGAAATGAATACTTTGGAAAGAAGAGTACATTGAAAGAGGGAAAATTATGGTCTTATTTTGCTACAAAATGTTTTGTGCAATGGACTGCAACCTAAGGCTGAAAAAAAATTCCTAAAGGGAGGTCTGTAGTCAATTTTAGCCTGAGTAAATTTCAACTCCAAAAGAATAGAAAAATTGTTATGCATAATTTGATATATTGCTATTGCGTGATTAAATGAATATGTAATATATTTAGGTGATTTATATTAATTTACTATGCCTTTAGTGCTTTTTTCCTACGTTTAAGTTTTATTTATGTTTGTTTTGGTATAACAATTTAATAACTAATTAATTTGTTGGATATCACTGTTTTTCTTTTTGTATATTGTTTTTCTGTATTTCTTTTTAAAAATGGAATAAAGTAAAAATAAAACAACTCATATGTATGTATGTGTGTGTATACACACATATACACACTTGTTGAAACGAATCATTCTGTGTTGTTCTTGGCTACACTTCTCTGTCTATATAAGCAGACTAAGAAAAGCGTGCTTTATTTGTTGTTTTATTGTGTATTAAAATTTCAAACACTGTCAATTTTTTTTTAATTATTTCCTGGCTTTTTTTTCAGCATGGAATACCCCTCTACCTGCTTTTGTGAACCTCCATGAAAAGTAAGCAAGCCTGTGGCTACTTTCAAGTTCCCACTGGTCCCCTATCACACTTTTCTGTGTTAAATTCAGAAAACACAAGGCATTTCATGTTTTGTTCCACTGGAGCACAGAGAACCTAGATATTTCAACAAAATGTTTGTCCTGAGCTGAAAACAAAACCTTTTTTGTATTTCATGCACACCCTAGATTCTAGTCATATCATTTATCTTCTGAGCTGTAGTATATTACTAGGCCTACTAATGATCTTGCTAGAGTATTAAGAGCCAAAGAAAGCATGAAAATGTATTACAAGTAACAGAAATAGCTAAAGAGGGATGGGATAGCATTATCCCAAGGTTGGATGGCATCCATATCTAATGAAACAATGTTGATTTACTCACAATTTTGTGTTCGTAGGGCATCCATGCAAGATCAAATACAGCATTTAAATGAGCCTGCCATTCTGAAGTGAAAGTAGAATATATTAGATCCAAATAAAACCAACTGCTTTGTAATAAAACATCCGCATATGAAAAATGAAGACTATTATCTTCATCAAATATATAAAACAAGAGTAGCACAACACTGTAAACATAGTATAAACATAGTAAAAAAAAAAAAAACCCTCCAGATTACTGCTTTTATCAAATAATCCAATTTACATAGTTCAAATACAAGACTTTTTACCTTTAACAACTTTCTTGTTGCTTGATTGTGTGTGAGTATCATACAGCCTAACAAATCCTTCTTCGTTGGCAACACCAAGTACATGCTGCACAGCTGGTGCTGAAAAATAATGCAGTAATATTTGTATTTTAAAACCTTTTTATACTTTTTGATAATACTCTACAATTTATCTGCTTCAGAAAACTGTGTCATATATTCTCAGGATTAATCAAACAAAACACAGCATACAAGGGCCTTCTTGTAAACTATATTAACTTTTTCCTTTATTCTTATCATAACAAGAGTAGACAAACATCAGCTACTTTGAAAGATTGACAGATAACTAAGCAAACGGAATTCAGTTAATGAACATAAACAAGTTCTCCCTCTCTGCATCCTTGTGATACCTGCCTTCAAAAGAGGATGGAGCAGTCAGTTTCTTTATGCCTTAATTGCTTTATCTTTCTGCCTCTGCTGAAATGACAGTGTGTCTATCATACAATATAGTTGCTACTAAATTTCCCAAAGAGTTAATCAAGGGCTCCAGCTAAAACTTAACTAGTCAGCTCTCACAGCTAGCAAAACCTATTGTCCCTTTAAATTCTCTTTTCCCTCTGAATATCTGTGCAGAGTAGACAGATCCCATGCTACATCCTCCTCCTTGCATAATGATTTTTGTGCCAATTCCTCACAGTGAACTTAAACCACTTTGGAACTTACATTTCTTCAGCAGTTCATGACTGTCTAATTCCCATTAATAAATAACAATTTATTAAACTTGTATGTGCCTGACTCTCAACAACACTGGGTGGCTTTGCTAGCTGGCCATTTTTCTTCTTTCTCTCCTTCACCAACTTCCTACCAGCCTGTTAGTCCACTTCAACTCCCCTTCCCCCCATGAGACCATGAGACAGGTTTTCAGTCTGTGAAAACCCCTTATCCAAATCTTTTCCCAGACTCAGACTAACATCCATAAGTACAGTTTGCATGTCTGGGAGGTCACTTGAGAGGATGGTGGATGATGTATATCTTCTCCATTTTGTCATGGAAATACTTACATATATAGATGTCTGCAGGCTAGTTGAGAAATCAAAGAGCATCCCAGAGAAATGTAATGATGAACTACTTCAGTACTGCTGCAAAGAAAACTGTAGGGATGTTTTCCACTCAAAAGGTAATCAACTCTATATAATTTACTACTCATCCTAAATTCCCTAATGCAACAAAGTGACTAGCCTTCATCTAAATTAGGCCCAAATGATCTGAATGTTAGCAAAAGTTGACCAGTGTGTTTTGTTTCATCCTTATGTATAGGAAGTCTTTCATAGCCTAGCATGTGCCAGTTTGTTTGGACTACAACTCAGAAAATTTCCACTTTTCCATTGGCCGTGATGGCTTTGCATTACAGGAACTGAAGTAAAATAAAACTAGAAGTCACCATATCAGAAAAGTTTACCTTTAAATCAAAATAATGACAGATCTTACAGATGAGACATCCCTTTACCTGTTGAAAAGCTACAGCCAAAAGGAGGAACTGGAATTCCCATTTCTCCATAGGAATGATGGTCATCTTCCTTAGTACACTGATAGCGCCCTAAAAGATGGTATAAGGAAAATCTTGGTGCCAAACCTATCAAAAAAAGAAGTTTATGACACAACAAAATTTATTTATTTATTTTTATTTAAAAGATTTGTATAGCTGCCTATCTTATGTAACATAACCCTAGTCGGCTGACAGACAGTAATAAAACAATAAAAACAGTAAAAAGCATAAAAACCAACAAAGAACCTTCCTAGTGCCCCTCCCAACACCACACATATCCACATGTACAAACAAACTGTGCAGCTTCCCTGGACTCCAGCCTCACATTACGCTAAGACTTGTGGGAAAAGCCAGGTCTTTACAGCTTTTTGGAAGGAAAAAGGTTATGGGGGGGGGTTGTTGTCAGCTGGATATCAGGGGAAAGGGTGTTCCAAAGGGCAAATTTATTTTTTAAGGGATAAATGTTTGAAAAGCTAAGAAGCAGAATTCTGCAAACAAGTTTATAACATTTCTTCATGTATCAGCATTAAACGCTACTTGATATTATATCCCCCTGAATATGTCTCCTAAACCATCTGGTGCCTTCTAATTATATTGGCTATGTAGCTCCCATCACTCTCAGTCTCCACTGTTCATGTCATCTGGAAATGATGGTAAATGTAGTCTAAGGTGTTTGAAAACCACCAGTGGGCCAAGTTAGCTCACCCACTATTCAGTCAAATATGACTTTGTTGAACAGCACATTCCTCTGATCCACCCCCCATCCAGCCACCACGCTCCTCCATCTCTAAAACACTGTACAGTATTTTTGGAATGCCTTACAAGGTGTACAATATATCTGGGTTGAGACATCAACATAAAGAAGAAAGTGGCAGAGGAAAGCTTCAACACAGATTTCGGCCTGCTATTTATCTTGCATTTCAGTGGGGCAGGGGGTGGGCGTGAGCATTAAACTGCTGAGCCATTTAGCCGAGTGATCCCGGATCAGGGATTATTTGTTTATGACAGCATATCCGCAAGGGAAAAAAAAGGACAAAAAAGAGCCACATACGCTAGCCTCACTCCCTCGAGGAAGCGTAAGAGTTAAAAGAAAGCTCCACTTAAAGGCCAGTGGAAGAGCAATGAGGGTTGTTGTTGCTATTATTATATTTTTATCCCGCCTTTCTTATACCTATAACTCAAGGCGGCGAATATACCTCCTGCCTCCTATTTTCTCCACAACAACCCTGTGAGATGGGTTGGGCTGAGAGAGAGTGACTGGCCCAAAGTTACCCAGCCAACATTCATGCCTAAGGGAGGCCGGGAACTCACAGTCTCTTGCTTTCTAGGCCAGCACCTTAACCGCTACACCAAAATGGCTCTTTCCAGGAACGAGGGGCCACCCAACACTCACCCTGAGGCCCGGCCTGGCAGCGACGGACGAAAGAACGACAAAGCATCACGACAACTCTGGCGGCTGAGAACCCTGTTGCCGCCGCGCGCTGAGCCCGTGGGGGAAAGAACAGCTTCTCCACGAGAACTCCCGCCAGCCCGAAGTCCGCGCCAAAGTTTCTTCACTACAGCTATTGGCTAGCCTGGCGCAAGGGGCCACACCCCCTCTTTTCCATTGGCTTCTCCTATCCCACAGCAAGATGATGCCACGCCCATATGCCTCCAGATTCCCATTATAAAACCAAACTAAGTGCATATTTTTTTCGAATTGCGCATGCGTAACAACCTCCTGGTCGTTCGAGAGCCGACCTTCAGCAAGCGTAGTTCGCATGCGTACCAGAAGCTGCGGCGGGAACGCAAGCGCGCAGGCGCCTAAGCGTGGGGCATCTGCACAAGCGCAGTTAATTACCGTTTGAAACGGGAAAGAGGCAGGATAAGAGCTTTCGTGTTTGTGTAAAACAAAATAAAAAGTAATAAAGCGTTATTCTCCAATTCCTGTCAGAGAGTTCTTGTATAACGGGGAATGGCCTCCGTTTCCAAATCCTTCCTCGCCGATGCCGGCTATGGAGAGCAGGAATTGGATGCCAACTCCGCACTCATGGAACTGGATAAAGGTAAGTCAAAAGAGAAAAAAAAAATCGCTGGCACGATGTACGCATGCGCGTATAATGTACTAACTCCAGTTAGGGGGAAAAAAGAAAGGAAGTCCCACCTCCTCGCTTTGCTGTGGGCGGTGTCCGCGCGTTGGGTGGATTCGCTGAAGGATGGAGTTGCTTTAGGTTGGAGCCAGAGGAAGGCTTGTGATTTCTTAAAATTAGCAGATTTATTGTGTATTTTAAGGTGCCACACGCTTCTTTGTCAACTTTCTCAACGTAGCGCTCGCCATCACAGCAATTCCCATTATTCCAAGGCAATACCCAAGCGACGTTCGGTCACATCTGTCTTCCTGAGTGTTTGAATTCTTAAAACCATGAAGCAGCAAGGGGCTGTTTAGCCAATAACTCCAACCCCCCTGTTCAGTTACGGAATTTAGATTAAAACTTCTTGGACGGTTATCTGGCCTGTATTTGAACACATTCGTTGAAATGCATAATCGGTTCCACTGATAGCTAAAACTAAGCAGGTGCCGTCTTATCCCAAAGACTGTATTTATATTTTTACCTCAGAAGGTACTTACATTCTCCACCCCATCTTTTGCACTAGGGAGCATAAACAGGCAACATTTGACTACTAGGCTCACAGTTCCTATTTGAGCAGGTGGCCGCCATGACTGGGGGGCCGGGTGTTGCAAATGTTTTAAATAAATAAATAAATAAATTTGGATGCAGTAGTTAATTTACCACACCATTCCTTGCCAGCTCTACTTTAGTTATATAGATAACGAAGATCAGTATATTTTTGACCTTTTGAGCTACAGACCGGCTAAGACCAGAAACTTGAATTTATCATTATACAAAGAGTTGTAGATTCTTTGAGCATGGAGAGTAGCAGAAAAGATCACTGTTCAGTGTGGGAGAGACAGAGCTACTCCAAATTTATATAAGTGAATTATGGATACATACTCTTCTTCTGTTTATGAACTACTTCTCTATAGTCATAACTTCACTCTTAAAAGTCTTAAGCTTCAGTCTTTAAAATGAAATAGAACATAAACAGGATCCTTTTTTTATAACAATTTTATTAAACATTACAATTAAAAAGATAAAAAACTAATACAAACTAAGAAAAATAACAATGAAAATAAAAAATAGAAAGTGCAGAAACTAAAAAAGAAAAATAGCAAAGAAATAAAAAATAAGAATATAGTAAAGAAAAGAAAAATATATAAAGAAATGACTTTCCCCTTCATCACACCAAGGATAAACAATAAACAGGATAGTTTTCAAACATCTAACCCCACTTTTCCATATCTGGTCAGTGCTTATCCATTGTTGTACTACCCCTATCGGAAATCACTTCATTAGGAGCACCTCATTTTAATTCTCTCTCTCTTTCCCATTCCCAGGATACAATGGAGCAGCAACATCAGCAGGGGAAGGGGGAATCAAAATCTGCAAGATGACAGGCACAGCATTGTGATTGCTCCACCCCTTTTGATGTGCAGTGATATCACATATATGTAGATTTTGACCTGCAGATTTTGACTCCCCCTGCGGATGCCCTTGTGCTGGACTAAAATTCATAGCTATATAAATAATAATAAATTAGCAGGATAAACAGTAACACAGCAAACAAGCAACAGTACACATGCACATCAACTAGAACAAACTGATCACAATGGTATGCCCCCAGCCTTAGCAGCATCCAAAGGAGCAACCCCTTTTGATATTACCCCTTCAGAGGCAACTCTGTTATCTGTATCCTTTCTGCTAATGGCAGCAATCCAGTTGGGCAACAGTTGGAGAAACACTGAATCTCTTTCCAGGCCTCTCTAGGAGTAGCAGAAGGGTCTTTGTGGTGCAGTATTTTCCCCAGTGGGGCTTCTCCAGTGGGGATGGGGCTGATAATTGTGTCCTGTGCAGGATTCTTCAGTGAATGAACTGCATGGTGTGGAATTTTTAAAATAAATGAATTGAGTATATTGCTTTATAAATTTATTGCGTGCTCAGGTCATATATGTTGTCCCTCGGGCAAATAGTTTTGTATGCTATGTATCATTCTATGGTTCCTTTGGTCCTTTTGTTGATTCTGTAGAATGTAGCATAGTGCTGTGCTCCCATTACATATATGTTGTCCCTCGGGCAAATAGTTTTGTATGCTATGTATCATTCTATGGTTCCTTTGGTCCTTTTGTTGATTCTGTAGAATGTAGCATAGTGCTGTGCTCCCATTACATATATGTTGTCCCTCGGGCAAATAGTTTTGTATGCTATGTATCATTCTATGGTTCCTTTGGTCCTTTTGTTGATTCTGTAGAATGTAGCATAGTGCTGTGCTCCCATTATTTGTCATAGGTCTTCGATCTGGCAAGTTGGGAGAACAATGTGAGGCTGTGGTCCGTTTTCCAAGACTTTTTCAGAAATATCCATTCCCAATTTTAATTAATTCAGCATTTTTAAAGCTAGCTGACGTTTTCAGAGTTGGGTAAGTACATATTTTTTGTTTCTTAATTTTAGTGCCCTAGTAACTGCACTGTTTTCTATTCGACTACTGGTGATCTTCTCCCAGGCCCTTTGGAATCAGGATTCCTGGAAGATTAGCTTCTTCCTTTTGAGTCTTGCATACTTACTAAAATTATCAATGGAGGTCCTGTTCTATGTCTCATGGACTTCTGTGTTGTTTTTTTGAATGGGACGAGGAAGCAGGTGTTTGCAACTGAAGAAAGCCCTTTCTTTATTATGCAGTTTTTTCGCATTTGAGCATTTGTAATTTTGACTATTTTTAAATATGGTATTTAATTCTGAAACTGTTTTATTTGATGCACACACCCTTCATTCTGTTTGCTATCTGACTTGGAGTTGATAAGGGAAGGAACAGTACAGTTATTGTCAATTAAACACATTAAATATCTTTTTAAAAACAGTAATAACTTCCTGAGGCTCTGTGTTCTGAAAGTGACCCAGCAGAGTGAGAAGCACTTGGAAAAAATTCTGAACGTAGATGAATTTGTGAAAAGAATTTTCTCAGTTATTCACAGCAATGATCCAGTTGCTCGAGCGATTACACTAAGGTATGTCTGTTTTTCAAGAAAGGACCTTTTTCCCAATATTGCCAGTGTTATAAAGGTTTTATACTACATTCTTCTGTTTTATTCTCCAGGATGTTAGGCAGCATGGCTTCAATAATCCCTGAGAGGAAGAATGCTCATCACAGTATTCGCCAAAGCCTTGACTCACATGACAACGTTGAAGTTGAAGCTGCCATTTTTGCTGCAGCTAATTTTTCTGCCCAGTCCAAGTAAGAACACCTAATGTGTATTTATTGTTCCCAAGTTTGCAAGCAATTAAATCCTAAATCCTAAATTAAATAGGGTTTTACTTACATTATTTTGGGAATTTTTGCAAAAATGTCAGTATTGATTTTTCACTGCTATTATCCCCTGTATTTTAGAGGCGGGGGGGACTAACAGATTGTGATATGTTGGATATCACCAGTGCTTTGTTTTGTAGACTGTTTTGTGATTAAAATATTTTACTGTAAGTTACACTGCTAATTAAGATTGAGTCACACATAGGAAATGGACAAGATATGAACCAGGAACCTTATGGTTCTGCCTGAATCATATTCTTACTTAAAACTAAGGCCCACTGAATTTCATGAAACATATTTCTGATGAGTCAGGAATAGATATGTCTTATTAATTTCTTAGAAAAACACTAGTTCTTACCTGACATTTAGAGATGTGCATAGTTCATATTAAGTTTATACTCTAGAACAAAGAAGTTGTAGTTTCAATAGAAGAGAATATATGTAGCTCAGGGTTGAACAGTACAAATCTTGAAATACGGTAGTGTTCCTGGGAGCTTGGTAATATCTGACTATCTTTATTCCAGGTCAAGCAGAAAGAGAGAGAGAAAGAGAAAATGATATAATTAAATAGTCAACTGGTTTATTTTTTAAGCCTTAATGTAGGAACATTACATGCAAAGGCCTAGTTCATGCAACAGTTTTGTGTGGTTGGCTTACCATTTTCTTCAGTGCTCTTGGTGTATCCATTGTTTTATGAAAGCAATACGCTGATTTTGTTAGTAAAGAAAGATACACACTTCAGTCAGATAATTAATAACAGATCTAATAGTTTGTTCCAATAATATCAAGCTGCCAGTGTTTTTACAGTTTATTCTTATTCACTATTTTTTCTCCTTCTTGACAGAGATTTTGCAGGAGGAATATGTAACAAAATCAGTGAAATGATTCAAGGTATATGCCCTTTGGTTTTTGTTCTTGCATATTTCTGTCAGTGCCTTTGAAATCGTTTTTTAAAAAGTGGTAATTCTATTATTTAAAACATTTCAGTTTTGAACTAAAATTTTGGAAATGCCTGGTTTATTAAACTTAGTGTGAAGGTTTGCTGGGTAAAAGTTTTTGTACATTCTAATCATATAGTTGGGTTTTCTTTGGTT